TTATTCAGACGCTGAAGATCCTGGTTCTGAAGATTACCTTGGTTTGAAGGCACGCGGTTGGTGCGCGGAAGCCGGTGCGTGGAAGGAAGGACAAGTGGGCTGTTTTCAAAGCTCGGTCGAACCAAGTTTTGGTCATTTCTGGACCTTGTGACTGCGCACGATTCTGGCAAGGACACTAGCTAGGTTTTAGGGTATGCGGAGAGTGACTGAGAGGACATATAGGTTCTTGGAAAAGCTCCGAGTTTTGGCGATGCCTTGATTTCGAGGCATGTGATAGGACATGTGGTGTGATCGCGCTAGCTCCGTGTTGTATCTCAACAACTTTTGGTCATGTCTAGTTCCGGTTGAGGAGCTTCTATCTTGGGTTTAAGGGGACGCGGACAAGGTATAGCAGGAAGAATGAGTTGCTCGATGGGAAAGCTCTGTCCGTTTGGTAACAAGTTTTGGTCATGTTTGAGATTCTTGAATGCTTCAACAGGTTTCAGGCCCGAATTCTCGCCTGCTAGAAATGTTAAATAATCTTCCTTGCGGTTTTGCGTTCGTGCTTCGCTCGCTCGAAACACTCCACTCCTCGTTAAGCCATCCCTCATTCGATCGAACCTCCTCCCCTCCCCAGGATGAAAGAAGCCACCCCCCGTGACCGGCGCAACGCCGCCGACAAGGTCGAGGCGCTTTTCGAGCGCATGGTTTCCGAAGGCCTTGCGCCTGACACAATCGCCAAAAACAGCGTCCTAAACGCGCTGGTGTCAAGTCAAGCGTACTCGCGCGCGGAGGAGCTCTTTGCGGCGATGCTGGACGACGCGCGCACGCCGCCCAACGACCGAACGTTCACAATGATGATGCACATGCACAGCGAGCGGAACCACCAGCACAAGGTGGGTGGGATTTTGAAGCAGTTTCTTGAAAGTTATCATGCAGTAACCTATGATGATTTACAGCTACCTGTGAGATTCTAGTCCTGAATAGGGCGTCTCTTTTCAGTCGCAAGGCTATGGAGTGGGAGGAGCGACTTTCGACGATCTGAGTAGAGGTGATTGGTGGCCAGCGTTTGGGTGGTGTACGGTTCTGATGGCTTTGGTTGCGTGCAGTTAGAGGCCGGGAGTCATCTCCCAAGGCCTGTCAATGTGTATCCCCGTTGTTTCCCTGATTGCTCTAAAATGTGCACATCAATCTTTGATTGCTTAAATCCAGTCCCCGTTTCTGAAAGACAGCTAAAATTCTCCACGATTCGCAAAAGCTTAGCTCTATTCGACCTGACATCCAAAGTCCCGTTGGAAGTTCGGGACGGTAGAGGATGCTTCAAAAGGGACTTGGATAGATTCAAACACGGGCGAATTACGAAGTTGACACGGGCAGCCTCCAGACCTCTGGAAAACCGATGAACGGAACAACAATCGAGCCGAATCTGAGGAGATGCTGAGGCAGGTTGCAAGTCGCTCCTGAATATACACCAGGATATCAAGAGGGATTACGTTATCTGCAGGTCCAGGAGGTGTTCGACCAGATGCTGGCCGTGGGGATTCCCCCGACCGACATCACGTACAACGTGCTCATTAAGGCGTGTGTCTAACATTCGAATTGATAAACAAGTCCACATTCACAAGCTCTGACCACCAGAAAGACTAAGACTCAGGAAACCTGAATTCGCAGGTCCAGGAAGTTTTCGACCAGATGCTGGCCGCGGGGATCCCCCCGACCGACATCACGTACAACGTGCTCATCAAGGCGTGCGTCGGCACGCGCAACGTGCGCGAGGCGATCCGGCTCTACCGCGAGATGACGGCAAAGGAGCTCCCCGTGACGTCGTGCACTTATAATAGCCTGGTGGAGGTTCTCGCGACGGCGGGTTATTTCACGCAGGCGGAGGAGGTCATATACGGTATGGAAATCAAGGGAGTGGAGCCGTCCCCCGAACCGTATAACATGCTGATAACCGGGTTGATCCGCTCGAAGGGGTGTTTCTGCGACGAGGCGATGCGGATCTTCCAAGCGATGCAGCTCGCGCGGGTCAAGCCGTGGGCGCTTACGTACGGCGCGCTGATGGAGGGGTTCGGGAAGGTGGGGCGATTGCAGGAGATGGAGCACATGTACCGGTGAGACGATTGGCGTGTTTGGCGTTTTCCGTTGATTTGGGCTGAAGCGGCTCTGCAGACTCTCCGGCAGTGATTTCGCCGAACCCGTGGAACCCCAGAAAAGTCGTCTTCAAAGCTCTGAGCCCCTTTTTAGTCTGCATCCTTCTTGGACGCAAGAAAGACGGGCCCGCGGTTCAAACTTTCAACACGAAGGGAAAGTTGACGTCAACAACTCTTTGGGCTTCGCGAACTGCGTTCTAAGCTTACAAGCATACGCGCACCAGGTTTTCTAACCTACGCACCTGCACTCCATGCGCTCTCTTTTGCAAGCGGGCGGATCCCACCAGCGGATTCCAGCGGTGCAACGAGATACATGTGTGCAATCCAGCAGAGCGCTAACTCCATTGCGCTTCCCTGTCGTCTTTGCAAGGACCCAACTCAAAGGATGGTCTTCTCGTCGCTGTGAATCAAGGTTCCGACCTCGCACGTCATCCAGAAGTAATGCTGGCACCCTTGACTCTGCATGAGCTCTTTCGATCAGCGATTCACGATGGGCCTTGAAGCACCAAAACCGACACTTTTGATCTCTGCTCATATCCTATCCCCGACCCTCAAGACTCACAGCCCTCACCATCGCTTATGCTGCAGGCTGATGCGCTATGCGAAGCTGCAGCCGACGACGACCATCTTCACGGCGATGATCCACGCGTATATCCGGGCGGACGACCTCGAAACGTCGTGGGAGCTGTTCGCCAAAATGCGCGAGGTCGGGCTGGTGCCGAACGTGCAAACGTACACGGTGCTTATAAACGGGCTCGCCTCGCGCGGGGAGACTGACGTCATTGATGACGTGTTTGCGGAGGCGAAGGAGGAGCTGTTAGAGCTCGACGCGGTCATATACGAGTCCGTGCTGCTCGCCCACGTGGGGCAGAATAACCTGCCCGTGGAGGATAGGCTATGCGCGGAGATGAAGGAGCGGGGGCTCGCGATGCTGCCGCACACTTATGATAAGCTTGCGGCGCTGCATGTGAACGCGGGACGGCATAAGCGGGCGGAAGAGCTCGCGGAACGGAAGCGGTTGGCGTATCCGGACTTGGAGGAGCGGAAGCGGGCGGCCACTTATGGCTGGCTGCGGGACGGCTACGATCCCGCGATCCATAAGGAGCCGCGACCGCTGATGCTGGACGATATCTGGGCTGCGCTGGAGGGCCCCGAGCCATCCGGTGAGCCCGAGCGGATTCCGGCTGAAATTTTCCGTTCCTTCCCCAGCCGAACGCTATGTACAGCCTTGTCTGGGCCGGTCCAACAACCTAATTTTGCTTAGTCCACCATGGACAGACTGGCGTGCCAATGTAATAATACCTTTCAGTTTCGATATTGTCGTAAGTTTTCTCCGGTAGAACAGTAGGTCTACAAACCGATGAAAAACTTGGACGAGGTTTCTGCAAGACGGCGGGTTTGCAAAGTACCCTTTGCAGACGGTGGTTGTTTGGCGAGCGAGGTGTTTTTGTTGCACAGCTGGTGAATGCAGCCGTTTTCAAACGGGGTCATCTTTGATCAGCAATGACAGACACGTTAGCAACAGCGGTTCCGCGTAAGGGGCCGCACTTCCTTGACGCATCCGGTCTTTCTTACGATAATTATCAGCATTAGTTGATCCGATCGGACCGAAACTTGCGAAAGACGAGCACGTTCAATCGCAAAGCAGGGTGTTCAATCCCTTTCACTAGCGTCGATAGTCGTCGGAATCACGACCCACATCGAGTCGATGCGCACTTGTGGCAATGTTTTCTTCCAGCTAGCAGGCCGTTAGAAACAATGGAGAACTGTAGAGATATGCAAAGATGTTCAATCTATTCAATCTGTCCCGTCCGTCTTGTGTTCTCCTCCAGCTGACGATTGACCCTTTTTCTCTGCAGATGAGAGCAGTCTTGCCCCGAATAGCTCAATTGAGGTAGATTCCGTGTCGACTGATGAGACTTTGGAACATGGGGCTGTAGATTAGGTCTTACTTGCAGTGACGAGTTGAAGGGCTGGCGTATTGCCTCGCACATCCTGAAAGGGAACTCCTCAATCTGGGAAACGGGCAGGCTCGCCAACTGTCAAACATACGTAGTTTGGAAAGCAACGACAGCACAATCTTTTCGATTATACTCACCGCTCATGCACCCCGTTGCTCTATGTCTCGGCCTTTTCCCGAGAGAAGGTCTTTAGAGGAACACGGCGGGCCGCATTGAGCTTCATGCGGTGTGTCTTGCTAGTTGGTTTCGAAATAGTTATGATTACAGTTCAACGATTGAGAGCAAGTCTTGTCTTGCAGGACCCCACTCACGTGCATGTATGCCTGCAGTTATAGCGTGGTATTACACACGTCCAATGCGCTGACATGTGACAGTGTGGCATGCATGCGTCTAATCACATATATGACCAATTTTAGGATTCGACCAAGCTCACTAATCGTAAACCTATCATTCTTTGTCTGATTAGACCATCGCGGTGTATAGCTGAATTAATACAGTGCGCATGCTAGATATACAGACGGTCATGCCATGAGCAGTCAATCGTCCGACGGCGCACCACACCATATACATGCAATTATTGCAGGTGCTACCATTAGTAGTCGATACTGAACCGGAGCTTGAAAGTTTTACTTCTAAGCATGTTGGACATATATGTTCGTGTCAAATCCGGTGTCCGACGTGGTCTTCTGTTCTTGAACTCGGTTTTGACTACAGCCGCGTGTGCGCACTAGTGTCGAATCGATCGACCGTGCGGGGTTTGCGGGTAAACTGACGGCGATGACACACTTGACACTGATTACGGAAATGCAAGATCTGTGATAACACTTCTAGACAACACCGTGTTGTTGCAGTTCGCATGTGAGCCACCGTGCTCAGTGAATGATCACATAGTGGATGCGTTGATCCATGACTAGCTCAACATTCTGAACTCACACTGGCTCATGCACATCATCTGATCTGACAGTAAGATTAGGACTAGTCAAGCGTCGCGGAGATCTGTTCAGCACAAAACGAGCATATAGATATATGCAGTTTTTCAATCCTGGCAAACGATCGTTCATGTCTAAGGTCGAGGAAATCAAAACAAAACCCCTAGCGCACTCCTGTATTATAGAACCTCGAGACTGGACATCCTGCATGTCCGACCTTGGGACCTCAACCGTGTCAATATATCCCTCCTACTGTTCAGATTATACCCAATCGTATCGTGACACGAACGCAGGCGGCTCTACAAGCGTTTGATATCGAACAATGATCGGCCGCGTCCTCAATCTATCGTAAAACCGGTAACCTGCTAACAGTAGGAGAACCAATTCGAAGCCACACTTTGCGACCGCCGGAAAATTCCACCGAGCTTCGTCGACCCAGACGCACTCACCCTTTTAGCGCTCTAAAACAACCTCCTAAACGCAGCCGTGCTCGGTGCAAAACTGTACAATGTCCCTGTGCATACACTCCTTACCAGCAAGCACTACGAGTCCTATCCCCGTGCAATACGTTGTACTGCATGAGTCTTATTTGCAAACGGTACATGGTACCTGGCCCATGCAGAAACAAATCCGGGCAGATCGACACCTCCCTACACCCTAAGGCTCTCCTCGATGAGGCGGCGGACATACTCTCTAACAATGTCCTCCCCCTTGGACCCCCGCTTCTTATGGCACTGGTAACAGTTCGTCCTGCACACCAAGAGGGATCCCTTGAGTGGCCCCGTCTGACCACTATTTAATGTACCCAAACATCATGCTACCAGTCGAGCGTGCAGTCAACAACCAGAACTATTGATTGGCATAATCCTTTCAGGAAGTCGAGACACTTTTGAGTATTACAACAATCTACCGTCCCAGTAAGAACACATGACTCCATCCAATTCCAGCCAGACAGAACGGATTCGTCATTCTCCCAGCAGAGACGCTCGGACAAGTAAGCCCGCAAGCAACCAGACAAACTCAAGTATGCAAGGTGGACAGACAGGTGACTCTCCGAGTCTTTTGGATGGAGGCAGTGCCACGGAATAACTCAGCGAGTCAGGAGCACGTGCCGTACCTCCTCGGGAAGTTGACGTTCTTGCAGTCGTCACATTCCCAGTTGCCATTGACCCCTGCCAGGGGCCTGATGGCGGAGGTGCCGGCCGCGTTCAAAGCCGCGGGGTCGCCAAACTCCTGCGGAGTTTTGTGGAAATATCAGATCAGAGATACTCAGAATGATTCGCGCTTATCAGCTTTGCTTTGAGTATATTGTACTGCACTCATCAGATCCGCTTCGGATAGATGTGAGTACTCGTCGAGTTGCAGTGACGAGGCGACTAAGATGTCAAATGAGCCGCAGCTTCATGGAATCTGGGGATATTTCTGAGTCGATTCAGGTGAGCCGCTTTGCAGCCAAACCCGTGCTCGGCTCTTGGTTTGAAGATACACGGACATAGAAGCAGCCTCGCAAGTGACAAATCAGCCTTCCCAGTGTGAAAGCTGGCGTGGAGAAGTTAGCCTGTCAGAAGAACTTTCTTACAAAATGCTGATGGGCTGCTTCTTCTTTGCGGACCAACGTCCGTCAAAGCTCCTCGCCAACTTCGTAGGGGTGGATAAGCCAGATTTGAATCGATGCGCACCTTATGACAAGCTGCGTCGAAGGACCAACCGTCGCGCAGCAGAAACTACTTCTGTTTCTCCACCACGCCCCGCGCAAACGCTGCTTATTCTCTTGCAGGGATTGGACTTTTGGCAGCAAAATAGGATCGACCAAGATCTCTCACCCTCAAGTAGTCGCTCGGCCGGTCCTTGTAGTCTTCGAACGACACAACGGGCCGAATCGGGGGCACCCTCCCGGCCACCCCTCGGAGAGTGGACACGTGGGCGTTCAGGCCCATGCCAGGTGTCATGCCGTTAGGCCCTCCGTAGTACGCCGAGGGGAGAACCAGGGGCGAGGTATGGTCCGCCTGGGAGAGCGCTGCCAGGTTACTAAGGGACGAAGAGGAGACCGGAGAGAGGGACGAGGGTGAGACGCTGTGCGAGTAGTCGGCCTGCGAAGAAGATTGGAATGGTTAAGAACCAGGTCAAGACGTGGGTTAGCTTTTCTGGTGACAGAAGGAAGGCGCGAAAGGGAGACGCGGTGCGAGTAGTCGGCCTGCGAAGGAGACGGGGGTTCGGTTCGGAACGTGGGTTAAAGAAGTGGGTCCAAGAAGTGAGAATGGAAAGGAAGGAGGTTTCAAAGGTCCGGCGAGAAAGATTCTCGACGAAAGAGTCGTGAAGGAAGGGAAGGAAGGAGATTTAAACGGGATGATCCGAGCGAGTTGACAAAGACGGCGGTGACAGAGCTGGTAAAGGGCCAGTTCGCGAAATGAGGATTTGAAAAGGGAAACGGAGTTGAGGTGCAACGTCTGAGGTGCAATGGCAACGTCTAAGGTGCAATGGTTGAGGTAGGATCTGCAACGGGTCGAAAGCGCCTCGGACTTTTTCTGCCTGTCTGGAACGGCCGAGACGTTGGTCCGATTGACAGCGTTAGGAAAAACGAGGTTTTCAGTCTCATTTCGCAGCAGTGGTCACGATGGTCGCCGGTGCTAAAGACGGGTACAGGAAGCGATGACGAGCGGGTTGACAACAAGGAAGATCTTCGCAGGTTGAAAGTTAACTTCAACGAGGAACAGCTCGAACCATTTCAGCCGAAGGTTTCGCTCAAGAAAGGGCGCACTTAGGACGGCTCCGGGGCCAGTTACAGTGCAGAAGCTGTAGTCAAGTAACAGCAAGGGGGCTTCAGACTGATATGGAACAGTGAACACTCTATAAGCTGACTCCTGACCTAGGGCGACGCGCTTTCTGTAGAAAGAAGAAACAAACTCTCTCCTCACCTGGGAGCGTGACTTTGTGACAGAGCCCAGCCAGAGCGCGGCTGCTGCCACGCACTCGCGGGCGTCCCCGACCGGGTCTGAAGAGTTGGCAAACTGGAGCAGGAGCTGCTCAGCCAAGCGGCGACCCTCGCTAGCGGTCCTGCACCGAGACAACCGAGGTTTGATGAGAAGACTGGGGTTTGGGAAAGATAAAAGGGCAAGAAAAAGGTTGAGAAGGGATTTAGAGAAGTTAGAAGAGATTTCGAAAGGGTTTAGATAGGGTTTGCAAGGAGAGTGGTGGAGGTGTGAGTGGTTTTGACCACGCCGACCTAACTCTTGAATCCCCTTCCAGAAAGGGTTTCACGGTGGATTAGGGCAATCGAACGATAGCTGACTGAACAATGCGCAAAAGTTGTAACCAAAGTTCGAGGAACTGAACGTAGTATGGTAGCCTGTAAGACACTTGCTTCCGCTCTTGTAACGAGATCCTAGAGCACCCTCCTAGACGCCCAAAATTGGGAATACGAGTACAAAGGAAAAATTGGAACCTTTTGCTGGCTACATGGCTTAGTGCGGGCAGGTTCCTGGAAACTGGGAACGAGCAAACAGGAAGACATGCAGATAGGCAACATTCACTGATGGTTAAAAACTCGGTCCAGAGGTAACTCGGTCAATTGAGGGTTAAAAACGGCCTCTCTCCATGTTGCAAATAGTCGTGATAAAAGGGGAACGAGCGGAGATCAGCTCACGTGAAGGCTGACCTCCGACTGTGCGACCCCCCGTTGGTGGTATACTGCGGAGTGTACGGAGCGTCGAGTCCCCCACCATTAGCCGCCGCCAACCACGCATCATGTTCCGAAGTCGAGTAGCGCAGGTCTGCCCCCATGACGTCCGGATAGTACGGCCCCCGTTCGTAGGTCGACATGTTCGCCAGTCGAGAAGCCTGCGAAAGTGATTATTCTCGAATCTTGGATTCGTTCTCCAATCTCCGAGTCTTAAGATGGTGTCCTGAAATTGGGCAAACAATTGACCGGGTTTGAAAGAGGACTTACCTATCTAGATCCAAGGAGGGGGAAGGGATTTGAAAAGGTCTCGCGTGTCAAATGAGGGTGCATGACATTTTGACGGGTAGTTGCTACTAACACATGTGCAAAGCCGACTGCACAACTGCAGCTGGTGAATCCATTTGTCTCGTAGGAGCAGAACAAACAGATTCCCGATGGGTCGTCTAGACCAATCAGAGCTGAGTCGCCAGCACGTCTTCTTTGTAAAGAACTCCCTGCTCCAATTGGCAGTTTTGCTTCAGGCAAATCGTGTTTTGGCGCTATCCTCACCATCTCTAGAGCTCAAATACTACAGTGATGAGGAGCAGATTGGATAAGGAGAACAGCAACTTCATTCCAGTAGAGCATAAAATGTGACTCAATAGGTCCCAGCAAACCCCAGTACAGAACCCGGGTACATACATGTTGCAAGGCGCTAGGTGCTGACTCGCCCCGGGCCAGCTTGATGGACTCCACGTAATTCTTCACGATGGTGTCTCCTATCAACCCCCGCTTCTTCCCGCACTTGTTGCACTGCAACCAGGAAAGATCGAGTATGAGAACATGACCGCTGCATGAACTGGCTCACTCTAGAGTTCAGTTCACATATCTGTCTTGAGACTTATGCACAGCTTAAGTCCAAAAGAGCTTGATCTTGCAGTGGAAGAAGGACCGTCAAAAGGCTTAGCTAAACTAGGTTCTGTCAGCAACTCAACTCAATCTCGTCCTTGCGCATGTCCCATGACTCGATTTCCAATGTGGCTGGAAGAAGATAGTGGTCAAGGGGCTACTCTAATTGTACTGAGCGCTATAGACTTCAGAGCAGATGGAAAAAAATGCTGTTCTAGCTCACTGCAATCAAGAAAGAAGAATATCTATCTAGAATAGTGCATGTTGGAACATCTGTGAGGCCAGGGGTTATCCCCTGCCTGGCACACTTCAACCAACTTATGCCCCTCCTCGAGCAGATATGCCGTCCCTCTTTCCTCAACCTGCAACAAATTATCCACCACCTGGAACCTCTTAGAGCAGCTGTTTAACAAACTCAAGACTCTGAACATGGAATGACAGCAGCAATGCATCATGAGGATCAGCATGTTTCCCACCTCTGACCGCCTGGGATAGTTGACATTCCTGCAGGCTGGATCTTCGCACATCCAGTTCCCATCTTCCAGGGGGCGGGGCTGTTTACTCCGGTAGAGGAACTCCCCGTTCGCTCCTTCAGGAATACCGTGCATCCTGCAGCAGACACCCAGTGTATCAGCAAGACCATCATACACTACCCCTTAGCGCATGTCACCCTACTCATGAAGAGAAGGAAACCCTTAGCATTCAGATCCTGACGGCATTTTTCAACCGTGACACTGGCCGGCAAGACCTACATCAACAGCAAAAACGATGTAGCTGCAGGAATTATGTTGCATCAGTTAGAGCCAGACTGCAGCTGTTCGGATGCTGTTAGCAAATGCCAACCGATGAGGGAGCCCCCTTGCCTTAGGAAGGTTCCGCAGTGCAACCTTGAACAGTCAAAGTCTCCTGACAATGGCCAGCAAACAACATTGCAAGAGATCTTGTTGCAGACAGGCATGAATCATTGCATTCATTGCTGCAGACATGTGCAACTGGGAAAAGGTTTGCACAATAGTGCAAATTCTATCTAGTCTAGATGTCATTATCAGGTCTTAAACTGAACACAGTGAATACCCAGCCAATGTGAAGCACAAACTGCCAAGTGCCACAAGCATATTGCAGCTCTCCCAGGTTTAGACTTCAGAAGAAGACCACAATACAGAGGTCTCATGCAGGAACTCACGCAGAACTAAAAGTAGATTCTGACCGCTTTTTGGGTGCCTCAACTCGTTTCTCAATCTTCTCTTCGGACCGGGCTGGTGATCAGAGAACCTGATTCCTTCTGATGCTATGAGTGGTTTTTCAGGATCACAACCACTTCCAGTTCAAGGTTGGTCAGTAAGTGTTCAACCCAAAGATACTAATGCAGTACAACCACCAGAATCAGTAGTAGTTAGATCAGTGGTCTTATAGGATTAATAGGAAATGGCAGCTAAGTGGTCTTAGAACAACATTGACCTGTTGAGTCAATCCATAAGATTGCTTGCTAAATAACAGATCTAGACAAATTTCCCATCAGCATTGCATCAATGAGGCGGATGCAAACCAGCAACTGCCTTAACTCGGTACAAAACAGGCTTGTACCTAGTCCTCACAACCTGACATACATATTTGTTCGCATCGTGCCAGTACTTCAGGAGCAGAAAGGAATGGGGGCGCATTGGGTCTTCACCTGGAGAGTCTTGGATGCTTGGCAAGCTTGTTGAGATAGTCGCTGGGGTCTGCTTCTGCAGTAGCCAGCATACCCATTCCAGCCGAAGTAGACCCTGGCAGCTCTGGGGTCGTTGTTATGACTGGCTCTGTCATGAACTTTCCCCTCACAATCTTTGAAACATCAACACTGGTGCCCCTGCTAAGCGTCTTTCTACCCTGTCTATTGAGATCTAAGAAGCGGCCAACAGTCAGGGGGGCAGAGATTGTCGGTTGCAAACCAGGGAAGGAACCTTACAGTAGACCTTGGAAACTCGAGCTCTTCAGCCTGCCTCACCAACCAAGGGGCTTATCAACCCTTCTAGCAAGTGCAGCACAGGTCAAAGCTCTCTCAAAACTCACTTCAATGCACGGAACCCGTGCAAAACAACACCAAGCTCTGAGCACCTGCTATCCTCAAACGGCTCTTCCTGAGGCCAAAAATGGTCGGCACGCTTAGGGTGGTTCGTAGTGTGCTTCCGTGAAACCCTTTTCGGGGCGCCAGCTTTGTCCTTGCCGCCTTCCTCCTGCGAATACCTGGGCGGCTTCCCTTCTTCTCAGATCTAGAGCGCCCTCATCGAGTTTCTTGGTCACAAGATCAGCCTGCAGTCTGACTGTACAAATTCAGAATGGGACAAAGGGAACGAACTTGAGAACATGCACCTTTGTCGCGTTCCAGTTTCCTCGCTACACCGACTTCCCGCACAGCGCGTACGTAACGCTCGCCTTTTCGCTCCCACAGCGTTACCAAGTCACTGGGTACGTACCACACTCAAGTGTACGGGGCGACTCGAATGGAGCTTCGCCTATCCAGAAAATGGTCCATAAGTAGAGGTTCGAACCCTCCGCTTATGACCATGTTACACTTTTTCGGGCGCGGATCTGACTGGTTTTCAGGATCCTCTCTTTAGTTCCTGACCAATCGCAGGGCAGAAAAAGATTCTGGTGCCCTACTTGCAAGTACACCGCGTGTCCAAACGTGAATGAAGGCGACAACACTATTTCCGGAATATGGAGGTTTCCAGAAACAAATGTGCTAGCCGCGGTGTAACGGTGAAAGTAATCATAGGTGTCCAAGCCAGTGCATCGTTTCCACTTGACTTCATGGCTCCTCCTGAAGGATTCAAGCGTTACAATTGCTCGAAGAAAATCCACACGCATGGACTTTGATAAACGGCTTGTGCATACGCGTGTGAGACTTGTGGCTGAGAGCGCCCTCGACGGCAGATATTTTAATGCTGGTGAATGCAGCTGAAAGTACGGAATTGCGGCCGTAATACAATGCAGTCGGGATGAACGCCCCCAAGGGCGGAGCCCAGGGTTTCCCATGGATTTTTTGGCAGCCAGTCACGGAGCCGGCACTTGGTGATTCCTACCGGCCAGAACTTCCTCACAGCCTTCAAGCCGGCGGCCGGCATCCTTCCATTTGTGCCGGCCGGTACCGAAGAAATCGCCTTTGACAATATTCAAGCCATTTTCTGGCGCTCCGTACCAATTTCAGGCACAAATACCTAGACTCAGAGCCATTCTGGGCCGTTTGGAACATCAACAGAGGGGAAATGATGATTTTATAGCGGGGCTTTGTTACATATGGTATAAGATTCAGCCGGTGGGGTGTGGTTTCTACCGGCTGCAAGCCGGCAAGCGAGCCGGCAGGGTGCCTTCGGCACCGGCTGGTCCTCCACTCCAACCGGCTGAGATCGCCACTAAAGCCCGCCTATGGGAATCCCTGGCGGAGCCCCAACTCCGACTCGGAGTCCTCAATGCTCATCCTTCAAGTCGCTACCAGTCGCCGGGCTCTGAGGACTGCCCGGGTACGTAACTGGCTCTCATACCCGGAAGACCGCTGGCCGGGTCGCCATCACTATTAACAAGTTGAAGCGCCTCAGCAGATTCATGCATGCAAGCAGCTTTGCTACCGCTTTGCTACAAGGCTTGCGACATCGGACGGAACAATTCTAGCTAGCCGGACGGCTCGCTCACTAGCCAAGTTGACTCGTTGCCCGTTAATTCAATCTCGTTTTGTCGAGCCTTTTCTTTGACGTACCTTCATGTAGCTGAGGAGGAGCTGAAGAGGCTCCTTCGATCCAGCAAAGATTTGATCAATCTAATACTTCCTGTCTTTTTCATACGTTGTCAAACAAGTTACCTACTATTGGTACTGAGCAAAGTTCACAATGCAAATACGCCAAAGAAATTCAACACACGCCGCTCTCTCTATTATATGCACCGCGACTCTTCATCTAGATCTTATCTAGATTTGAAAACAGAAGGTGAAAGCTCGATCCATCTTCGGGTCAGTAGCGCATACTCAATGGCTCGACGACTACATGTCCGTTCCCAATACTTCTGACCAGACTGAGGCCAAATGAGAAAGGGACTTCGGACTCGACACATCCCGGCACTTATATTACTCCCACATATCAATACTTATTTCATGCTCGATAGCGCTATCGCTGATATACATACTACAGCCAATCTGATCGTGAAAACTTCATCGGCGCATGGATGCGTACGTCGTGAGTGCGTACAAGTCGAACAAGCCCGCAAATATAACAGTACCAAAGGACGCTTTTTGACTCCCAGAAATGCCCGAAGTCATTGCTCGACTCTGGTAGAAACTGACAGTGCGCCTTCAATACGTGCACTGGAGATCAGCCGTCTGCATAAAGAAAAGTTTGCGGCGAGGTGACCCGGCCTCATGGTTAGTCACAAATCAACTGGGCGCCCATGACCTCGTACACTGATATGATGATCGATGCATGGCGCAGGCACAACCGGTCCTGCGCGCGCACGGACGTACGGCGACGGCTTGAAACTCTGAGAATCTGCATGTGAGCAATCCACTCGCATCATCATGCGTTCGAAACTGACCTTTGGGTAGACATGATTCTCTACAGCGAGCCCCTGCTTAGCTGCGACGGCGCGACGCAGCAGAAGCGAAGAGGCGAAGATCGAATCAGAGATCAGTTTCCTTGAAGTCTCGTGAATCGGCACTTGTTCAATTTTCCTAGCGCCCACCGCCCAACAGAAATGGCGGATTTCCGGGCGTTGCCGGAGGAGGTCGTGCTCCTCATCTTGCAGAGAGTGGTGGCGTCATCTGGGCAGGACTTCGTCAGCGTCAGCCTTGTGTCCAAGCAGTTTAGAAAGCTTGCGCGCGACACGCACTGTGCGTTCTTCGAATCGAGGCTGGGGCGGACGCGCTCAGCGGAGAAGGACAAAGTGCACTCTTTTGTTGCCTTCCTGAAAGGACGCGAGGACTTGGAGAGCCTGACCTTAAAAGACGTGGCATGGTTGCACGTGCCTCTGCTGAGAAAGCGCATTTCGAAGCTGCCGTCTCTGAAGACCCTTGATGTACGCGCTCTCGCTATTGGCTCTTTAGGGCTCCCAGGCCCCATGTACTCGAAGACACTTACTGAGCTACGTTTGTCATCGTGCAAGCTGGGCCCAGAATTTTTCACAGGCTTGAAGGGCTTCCTACGGCTCAAGAGTGTGGACCTTTGCAGAAACGCGTTCTACGACGACGCCCGATGTCCATTGAATGAGGCAATCGGAACACTTCATTCGTTGGTAGAGCTTCGGATGTCTGAGAACAAGTGGTGGCTGCCGGTTAGCCTTGAGAGTCTCACTTCGCTTACGAGCTTGGACTTGTCGGGCAGCAAGCTGAACGGTCGAGAAAAAGTCCTGAGTGTCCAAAGCCTTGGGCAGCTTCGAGCTCTAACAGCCCTCGACCTATCAAACAACCCAGTTGGCTTCGAAGGCGCCCAGTCGCTAGCTCCCGTTCTGCAAAGCCTCCCAGCCCTGAAAAGCCTGAAACTAGAAGCGAGAACGGAGTACAACATCGGTCTGTGCTACTACAACGGAAAAGGTGTGGCTGAAGACGAAGAAGCGGGGGTTCGGTGGTTCAGGAAAGCCGCGGAACGCGGCAATGCTGACGGTCAGAACCACCTGGGCTGGTGCTATCTGCACGGAAGTGGCGTGGAAACCGATCTGGCACGTGCTGAGAAGTGGCTCACGAAGGCTGCGGAACAAGACCATTCAGACGCGCAGTGCAGCCTCGGGTCGCTGTTCAAGTTGGCTGCGAAACCGGATTACGCTCGCTCACTTAAGTGGTACACTGAAAGGGTGCAGAAAATGGCCATGCATAAGCGGCGCTCGGCGTTGCCTCGGCCTACGCTACCGGGAAAGGCGTCGACCGAGATTCCGAAATGGCTGCGCGGTGATACAGAGAGGTTGCCGACCAAGGCAACTCCCAGGCGCAATGGATCTTGGGCATGTGCTATCACGACGGCAGAGGGGTGGAAAGAGACGACGACAGCGCGCTGGAGTGGCTTGGGAGGGCAGCCAATCAAGGGTATCCTCTCGCGCAGCACTGGCTAGAGACTATCTCTTCAGAAAGAGATTGAGGTTAAGTCTAGAGCGAATGAGAAGACAAGTCGGAAAATTCGGACGACATGTAGTGATAGCTCCTGTTCTTCGCATTTCTTCGTGCGAACTGTAAATAGTCGATAGAATGCTGTCCGTGCTTGTACAGGAAAGCCCACACGTCTTGACGATGGCATGATAAGGTAACTGAAGGGCCGCATTCAGACCGTATTGTGGCCTTCCAGTCCCCAGAGAACAACCTGACCGCGGAATTGATTAGGAACGTAAAGTAAGTCCAGGATTGTACCTGTATGAATATATCCAATCATCCACTCTCATATTCATGTCCATGTTATAATGGCATCCTTTTGACATGCATGTTATTCTTCAGGCCGGCCATGTTCTCTGTCCACTAGGTCAACCTGTCATCATTAGTATGCCTTCTCTCTCGCGAGTGACTTTGGAGTCTCTAGCTAGAATTGATCATGCAGTATATTGCTCGATCTGGCACGCGCTACTGCAGATTCACCAAAGCTAGAAAGAACATTTGCGTGAGCTCCACACGTTGTGTAAAGCCGATCGAAACTTGAAGCACTGCAAGACGTCGATCGTAGATAAACTTCCCGTCTGCCGCACATGCACGCGGATTATGCTTGATGTGGGAGAACAACGTATACCCGACTTTACCCCCGGCTTGAATACCTTGGCGTGAAGGCGGCAAGGTATCATATATGATATTAGCTGTTTGTGTCGGAAAATCGTTAAACGTGCATCATGGCATGTATGGACCGCATGCAGATCGTTTCCGTGCGGAAGCAGTATCCTACTGGTATATATGTAAGAGTATCATTAAGATAGCTTTCACTTCGTCGGGAATTCTAACATTATAACGCACGAAAAGAACTTTCCGTGTGACAGCACCCACAGCCCAGATGCATCACGTGTTATTACGAATCCAGTCCACATTGCATACTTCAAATTAAGGCGATTATGGGTGCACGCCAACTTGAAATAGGTTAGAGGGAAAGCGAATCGACTTGCCGTCTTGTGACCCGAGAAATTGACCACGCGGAATGCGTCCATGGAGCTTGCGCAGCTTTGCAAACCTCACCATACAATTTAGGTTGAGCCGCAGCGCGGGCTCAGTACCAATCGTTGGGATATAAGAGACTCTACTAGACACGTATGGTTCAGATCCGCTCAAAACAGATCCGCCAGCACCTTTTCGCACTTGTCCGTAAGAATCTTGATCGCCTCTGTGAACAATTCCTCGGGCCTCAAGGCTCCTGTAGATTCGATCGAGAAGATGAAGTGATCCTTGACTCGCCGCAGCGCCACCTTTTCCTCCCACCCCTCTTCTCGTATACACTCTCGACACAGGGTGCAGTCCCGAGGACGCGCCACCGTAGCCCGCTTTCCGTCTGCAGAGAAATCGCGTTTCCAAATTGAGCGGACTACTTGACGAAAGGTTCACGCAGGCAACAACCGACATGCTTCACAGGAGCGTCTCGAAAGCATCCGTCTAAAATCTCCTCCTGTGGTGTCAAATGTAACCTTTGCAAACGTCCGCACAGTCTTCCTTTGCTTGTCCGCTGAGTGCTGCTCTCATCCGTTCCAAGATAACGAGACTGAAGACAGGTGAGACAACGATATAGTTCTCCCAAAACGTACCGTTCGATCCGGGCGGTACAAACCCAGCTAACACAGGAAACAGAACCGATACCTATACCGCAGCGCAACCGCAGCCACCCTGGACTGCAGAACTATCCCACCAGTCCAGGCGGTGGCGCGACGATCCTCATGACCGCAAGACCCAACCATGCGTCTGAGAGACGGCAGCAAAATATTCGATTCCTCCTGCAGGGCACTCCCCCTCACCTGGCCCCAGATCTTCGATGTCGAACACGTGTACCGGGCACTTTCTGACGAGCTCGTCCGCTTCGTCGCCCCTGATGTCCTCCTTGAGTATCACCTGGAAGAGGTAAGAAGTCTTCAATCAGAGTCTTCCAACCGGGAGAGGCAGAAACGAGCGCGAGTAATACTTTCCAAACATGGACGTCCAGTCGCAACACTTAACCCGCCTTGGCCCTGGTCCCATTAACTATCAGAATGCTGTCAAACTGCGAATGGAGAGCCGTGACTTGCCAGAATGAAGGCCGAAACAGAGTCCACAAATTCAGAACAGGAAAAGTCAGGGAACCTGAGTACGCCCGACCTCATCATTCAAAAGGCGCAAGCCCAAATTGGTAAGGTCCCTCAACCCTCAGAAAGGTACCAATTGAGACTCTAACCCACCTTGCACAACAACCGGATCACGACCCAAGACTATTCGCGTGCTTCTTGTCAACGAATGAAGGCAGAATATGACAGCTCAGAAGACACAAAGTGATCCTCCAAGACTTGGACCCGTACGCTTCATGCTTCTTGAATCGGATTCAGAAATTTGTAATCCTCGCACCCCCCGACCGACGACCACTTTGCGTGCTCTTTCCCCTCGCCCTTCACCGCATGCGCTTCCAGCTCAATCTCGTGCCGCTTGCGCAGCTTCACATTAAAAACAACGAACACAAAAAAGTGATAAACATATAAACGCCCAATCCACCTCCGGCAGTAATCGGTACACCGCCGTCGCGACCGGCGACCACTTCGCGTGCTCTTTTCCCACGCCCTTCACCGCCTGCGCTTCCAATTCGATCTCGTGCCGCTTGCGCAGCCTCACATCGATACCTGGAATAAGAAACGAGGAACGAAAAAGATCCACAAAACATATAGAATGCCCAACCTACCTCCGGCAGTAGCCGATAAGCTGCCGTCGCCACCGGCGACCATTTCGCGTGCTCCTTCCCCACGCCCTTCACCGCGTGCGCTTCTAGTTCGACTTCGTGCCGCTTGCGCAGCTTCGCGAGGACGATGTCCGGATGCGTCGGCGCGATGGGCTGGCCGCCCGGCGCGGTTTGCGGTGCATTAAATGCTGTGAACTTGGTCTCCTCGTCGGGGGGGAGCTCGCTGCCCAGGGGGAGCCACTCCAGGTCGCTCGAGTAGACTGCGTGATGGGAGGGGGGGAGAGGGTAAGCGAGGCTTTGAAAAGGAAAACGAAAGTGCGAGTGTTCGATTGGGGATACAGAGATGACCGAGAATGCAAGTGCGGGGCAGCTCGCTGCCCAGGGGGAGCCACTCCAGGTCGCTCGAGTAGACTGCGGGAAGAGGGCTGGGGTTTGAGTAAGAAAACACACTTCGGATTGGGGGGCGGGCGTAACGAAACAAGGTGCGAGTGCGAGGGAGCTCGCTGCCCCACTCCAGGTCGCTCGAGTACACTGCGAGAGGAGAGGGGGAAAATAGATTCAGAATCAGCGCCAGGGGGGGGATCCTAATAGAAATTAGATCTAGCAGAAGAGCCAGTGACGCTCGCTGGTAAGGAGGAGCCAGTCCAGGTCGCTCGAGTAGACTGCGGGAAAAGGGGGGGGAGGAAGGTGAGCAAATCTGAAAGAGGACTGGAGGAGATTGTGGGGAGTGGGCAGAGATGAATGGTATGATACAATTTTGCAGTGGTTTGTGGGGGGGTCAGTAAAAGCAGGAGATGAAGCGATGCTTTGGTGCGAATGATTGAGCGCAATTAGAAGAAGCTTCGACGGGACAGAGCGAAATTGAGGCAGTCAAACCCTTAGCGGAACTGTGTTTCCCAGAGACAAACGAGCAGAAGAGTCTTGCTCGAAAGTACAAAGTTCATTCTAAGAACTCCTCTTGACGAGGACTAACGCAACGCTGGAATAAAATCTCCACAGTGAGAGTCGCGACGCGCAGTGACACGACGTGACTGCTCCGGTTTCCATATAAGCCGTCATGCAAATGCTGACATGGCTACTTTGCGCGCGTACCTTATCCCCAAAATAACGTTCGCCTATGACAAGATTTCGCGGGAGACGCTCAAGAAAACGGAGGCTGGAAACCGACTTCGCGATTGGCTTACCTTTCTCGTTGACTCTCGTCTCCGCTCCTTTCGGCCCCTCCTCCCAGCACCGCTTCTTCAGCCGGAACACAATCGTGTTCTTCTCCGTCGCGTTGTCGGCCTCTGCAGATGCGAACAAGCCGCTTCTTATAACCCTCCAGCTGAGCAGGTTCTGAACATTTACAGTACTTTGACAAACTTAGGATATTTGCCGATTGGGCAACACTAACACCAAAAAGATGTTTGGCCAACGAGAAACGTCTGCAAGATACAGTGGGTCATAAGCTCATAACCTCACTTCGTAGCGCTTTAGCAGACCCGGACAATCACGTGTTCGAACTTGAGAGGGCAAATCTGCATTAATACGACACGTGCGTCTTCCGTGGCGTTTTCGTGCACAGGTCTACTCCTCTGCGTGTCAGCAACTGGGCAAGGGACCATTTTGAAAGCAGTACCATCGACTTAGTGGGTCTAGTGAAACCTCTCAATATCGCCGGGTCAAGGCACAGGTCGCCCTAGCGGAAAACACTAAGCACTTCACTGATTACTTAGACTCGACACCCCAGTAACGGATCTTGAGAACCACCCACAATAAGGAATCTTGAGAACGTCACCACAACCACAGATCTTGGATACGTCACCACAAAAACGTCACCGTGAAAACGTCAACGCAATAAACAGTTTTGAGAACGTCACCACAATTAAACTCCTCGCGCCCACCTGTGCGGTACTCGAAGTTGCGGGGGTCGACTTTAAGCGGCACGAGGCCGAGCCGGTGCGCGAGCACTTCGTCCTGGACCACGCTCGTGTTGTCCACTACGAACACCTTCTCAATCGCCATCGTCGGCACCTGCGGGGATGAATGATGACGGTGGTTAGGCGTGGGTCAAGCGCTCATAAAGAGTTTTAGAACCAGCACTTTTTTGACTTGGTGGGACTCCGAAGAAAAGCAATCGCGACCAATCGGAGGTTGGGATAAGCAACCCCCTCGAACGCCTTCTCGATCGCCATCGTCGGGAACTGCGGAGACGACCTCGTCAATGGTGAAGCATCAGACAGGTTGTCGTAACCAGTCTTGACCAGCTGTGCTACTGCAGAGGTGGAGGTTCGAATCCGTTCGAAATTTTTTATACAGAAAACAAGAGGATACTGATCCACCGAAGAAGTCCTCAACCGCTACCGTCAGCTCCTGTGCGTGCCTAAAACGTGGATGGTTATGCCTTGGTCAAGCGCTCGTAACCCGATCTTGACCAGTGCGGAGCACGGGGTCGAGTTGGTAGATGCTCGAACGTAATCGACCGTCCCTGAAAATCAGATCATCCAAGGCTTGATATCTCCAAGCATCAGTATCTGCGATGAGTAAGACAACAAAACACCATCTCAATCGCCATAATCGGCACCTGCGAGCGTGAACGATGTCAATGTCTAGACCTCGGTCAAGGGCTTGTTACCAGTGTTGAAGCAGTGCGAGGTAGGGGGATCGAGTTGATTTCTGATTTCTACCAATCATAAGACAGTCGACGGATCCACTCAAACACCTTCTCAATCGCCACCATCGGCACCTGCCAGGATCGAAAGACGTCAGGATCAAGCCTGCGTCAAATCCTCGCGACCAACGTTTCATCGCAGCGAAACGGAGGGATACGAGACTGACAAGCGAACAAAGCGAAATAATTGAAGGGCTCTGCCAGCTGACTCGATGAATGATAGGTGGTTCAAACGATTTCGAGCGGACGGTTCTTCCACAGTCATTGATGGAACAAGGAAAGTCTCTGCTATGTGGAATTTGAAAGGACACATGTCTCCTGCGCCGGCTTTGGTATTCCGTCAAATCTGCAGTCCCCCATCAAACGCAGCAATCGACCAACATGGATTCCTGGAATCAAAGCCTTCTCCCACATGACAGTTTATTGCACAAAGCCAATGAACTCCCTCCAGATCTCTGCCTCTTTTTGTAAGTAACGTTTTTGTTGCTTTCCAAGTTGCATAAGCAAAAACCCCTTTGCACCCGTTAACCCGCTAAGTCACCGCTAACCAAGTACAAAAACCAGCCTTACCTCGGCGATAAGAATCCGCCGGAATGCGTTTGCGATCGCAGGGTCGATGCCAATAATATCAAAGACCATTTCCTCCTCCGTCAGGCTCTTGATCTCCACTTTCAAGTTCTTCACAAAGTCCGCCATGTTCAGACTGTCGTCGATGCGCGAGGCCATGTACGCCCCAGAGTACGACACATTTTGCTGCACAAGAGCAGTGGAATGATCAGGGACTGTTAGAGATATCGTTGGCCAAATCTCTAGTACGATTCAACCACTGTCAGATGATCCGAGAGAGATTCAGCATGACACAGTTCTCTTCTTCCAAAGAATGTCAGACCAAGAATCCCTGCAGGCCGTGAGGCCAACAATCGTTTTCAGCAAGCGGATTTGTGCATCCGACTGATGTAAAATGGAACATCTCCCCTCGGTCCTAAACAGTCGTTGAAAACTCGGTTGCTGGGTTGCTATGGATGGAACTCTTAGAACCCATCTGGTGGAAAGCAGGCAGAGAGATTGAAGAAGAGGATCTCTGTGGACAGACGACAGACAAGCAAACAGAACAGTCCAGGAGCAGGCGCTTGGAACGCAAGTAATCTCTCTGTAGTAAGGGCAGACACAGATGCTTGAAACAGAAAGCTTTGCTTTTGAAGTAGACAAAGATAGATGACAGCATTGCATCTCTGCAAATATGAGGAACTCACAATACATCACATGAGTTGGCCACTACAAACAATACCTTCCAAAGAGCTCTCTTCAAAAAAATTGTGCATAAATGAATCAGCGGCGCCACCTCCCCATAGAATGCGTCATCTCCGAAAAAAAAAAAAGGTGGAACTTTCTGGCAGTCAGAAGAGTGCCAACAACAGGGGCACAGTGACGCTTACGTATTCAACACCTTCACATTCTTCTGATTGCCCACGAAATGGGCTATTCTTAACGGTTAACCCGATAAGAATGCACCAATGCTTTCGGCGCTTAGGACTTGATTAATGGGCCACAGGATCATCCACCCAGCACTTCAAAGCGGCCCACTCGCCCACTCTCTCGGAAAAGGAAACGTTCAATGTTATGTCCTGCGATGAATGAGTGGTATGTAACCACTGCTACAACCACCAAGCTCAACTGATCGAGCATCTCTTTTTAGATACTTCTGGCTACAATTGGCCTGATAATGTTCAATAAATCCAGCGATTTCCCCAACATTGAACCGAACGATATAATATCGACTAACTCACATAAGTTGGCGCATCGCTTGCGCAGAAGACCCTCGTCTTCTGGTCCTGCAAATGCTGTGGCAGCTTGGTCGATGCGCCGGCGGCCTCCTGCGCCGCGGCCGCCGCCTTCTTTTTCTTTTTCTTTTCTGTGTCCATTGCTACGAGGGTGCCTTTAATAACCGGGACAATGGCTTATGCGGATCTAACGGTGAGCGGGTCCCTCGTGCAACAGTGAAAAAAAGACTCCTGACCAAGTATGGCAGGGTTTCTTTCGCAGAGCTCGATGAAAACTTTATTGATTAAGAGGCAATCAATGCTGTTGACAAAGGATGCGGGCAGGTGGACACAAGAAGATGCTCTGACTTGCTCCTCTGGACTCACTCAATGGCAAACCCAATCAGTTACAGATTTCTAGTATCCTTGTGTACAACACCGTACCACCACAATGGCAGAGCGCTTGAGAAATGAACACCAAGGCGAGCCTGCCAGACAATTTTGAGTCGGTCCAAATTTCTGGTCATCCACGAAGTTGAACTTGCATTCGAAGCTGGAGACCCCTTGCGAGCAAGGAAACTGCTCCGTTACCGTTCGGTAACGCTGTCATAAGAATCACATTTCACTTCCGCCGGCCCTTCTTGCCAGCTTTCATGCCAGCCTAGTTACAAAGCGTCCTTTTGCTTGTGGGGGGATCAGGGGGCGTCACTTCATTTCCGGATGGTGGCAAATTGTGGCGCCGCTTTACACCTTGATAGCCAACTGGTGGTAGTGATGCTGCGATATAGCTCTGGAGAAAGTCTTGAGATCCCTGTTTCGCCTCGGACTGCATATGCAACGCCCTGACAGCTGTTCGGGGCACTGACCAAAATAGTAGTTGTTTCGCGCTACTGGATCGCCACCTTTGCTTTTGAAAGAATTTTGCATTTCAGACCCAGAAGAGCTGGCGGTAGCTCTTGTTAAGACCTCATGTGCTCATCAAAGCCTAGAAACACCGATGATCGTTGGGGTAGACAATGAAGGCGCTCGCAAGAAATCGTGCCATTGCGGCCAGCAGGGCGGAAGGAATGGCACTTGGCATGTGTCGCGCGCCTCAACCACCCCCAGCATCGGTGGCAGTTCCGAACCCAATGACGCTTTCTGGTGCTCGGGCTTATGAGCAAGCTGCCACTAAGGTTGGCAGAAGTGGAGTTAGAGAGGTGCAAGCAGCAGTCGCCCTGAAGACTTCTGGTCCAGAATCAAGGTCAGAAGAGGAGGCTCTGAATGGAGCGCAAAAACAATCGATGAACGGTGACTCTGCCCTTCCCTGGGCTATGGATTCTGGGTCCAAAAGTAGACCCGCCACCGCGCAGAAGAGACGAGCCGTTTCGAAAGATGGGAAGGCCAGTTCTTCCAATTACACGACACAGCAGAGACTTGCACTAGAGCTGTCAGGAATGCACGGAGGGGAAGCGAAAGTCCGCCTCGCCAGGAGAGTGAGTGCAAGGCAGCAGCTCCTTGAACTTGACCGCGAGAGGGGGGAAGAAATTCCAGCCTGCGTGGCCCCCCACTCAGAACGTGGGCGCCGTCCTGACAAGCGGCAGTTTCAGAGGGGAGGGGGCGGTGACAATCAGAAGGAATGGAGAGACGATGCTCGCCTGGCAAGGAGGGCTGTAGAAGCTATTCTGGCGTCACAAGGGTTGGATAAACAAGCCAGCGTGCTGACAGCTGTCGAGACGGATGCACCGGAAGAAGGGTTGGATTCAACGGCCTGTGGTGGGGAGGAGGGGAGAACTGCAGGCGGGCAGATGGGTGTGAACGGGGCTCCAGAAAGTGGGCTTCTTTCTTGTTGGGGGTTATCACCTGGGCTTCACTTGCAAGAGGTGGAGTCAGGAAAGGGTCCAGTTCCAACGGCAGACGAGAACAGCGCATCTTCGGAAAGTGGGGCAGGTTTCGAGACAGCGGGTGAGGAGAAGAAAGCCGCCCTGGCACGGACGCTAGAAGCTCTAGGGGGCTCGCTCAGCCTTTACAGGTGGCAGGACGTCCTAAAGGATCTTGGGGAGCGCGGCCACTGGGCGGTTGCGCTGAACGTCTTTTACTGGGCGCAGGAGAACCTGAGAATCAAGCCCAACGCCTTCACTTACGCTCAGATGGTCAGTGGTCTGCTGTGTGAACCGCACTCTAAACAATTTCGCTCCTACATGATTTGCAGCGGAATACCATGGCTTTTTATCATATGGCTGGTTGGGCATGTGGTCTTGGATAGTTGGAGACGTTTCCCATTTATTGGCATCGACTTTCTTCGGATGTTTATGGTGTGCTTATGTTTTGATTCATCATTCTTGGAAAGCTTCAAAATCTGGCCATCGATGCGCTTGATCGGTTTCTGTCAATGGAGTTATTACCTTGTGTGATCGACTGGGATTCTGCTCTGGTTGATGGTGATCAGCTCTGCTCATTATGATGAAGCTTAGGAACGCTGTTTCTTAGTCCAGTGCAAGAGTAGTCAAGGGATCGGAGCTGATTGATCTGGCTCGGCTCGGTTCGATTTCGCTGCCGAGCACCTATGATTCTTCTCGATCTTCCATTTTCTCGATTCGAATGAACGTCAATTTCCGGACAGCAGGAGAACGAAGTACGCCCAACTTCCTCTTTAATCTATACTCCAAGAGACACAATTCCGAGAGTCAGATCGGATGCAAGTTCACTCCGACTTCTCATTTCGAGTCCATGCAAGTGCTGTCTTTCCGGATTGCGCTGGTCCAGTCCTTTTGTTCAAAGCTTTCAAGCCCATGCTGTATCTGCAGGTTGCAGTTACCTGAAGCCCCTGACTTCACAAACTTTCAATAAGTTCTCTTTGATTGTTAGGTACAAGATCTAGCTACGTGGTTGACACTTTCCTGACTTTTCGAATTCCGATGGTGACAGCCTTCAAGCATCCAACTGTGAAGGTGACTCCTCAAGAAATCCGGCCTGCCTTGGCATATGCTCTTAAATTCCTAACCTAACGATTTCCCAGCTTTCTCCCCCCTAGGCAATGACGCTTCAAGCCGCAGGCCAAGCAGCCCCTCTGATCGCCCTCTACGACCAAGCACTTCGGCACGGCATCACCCCCCCGGAGCAACTCTTCAATGGCGTCATTTCCGCGCACTGTCAGCAAGGAGATCTTCCAACCGCTCTGGAGGTCTTCGCCCAGATGACGTCATCTGGGTGCAAACCGGGGCAATGGACGTACACGTACCTGCTCCAGGGGTGCGCCCGCTGGGACCCGGGTTTGGCGTCTGACCCTGGAGCTAACCTAGATTCTGACCCAGGTTTGAATCCGAACCTGGTTGCTGACCCGGAGTTTGAAAGCGGGTTGGCGTTAAAGAAAAACCTCGGTTTCGACGTGGAAGAAACTTTAGGCCCTGATGAAGGTGGTAACCCGGGGTTCGATCCGTTTGTGGGTCTTCCTGACTTTCAAACAGAGTCGGGTCCAACGAAGGAAGCGGATTTGAAGTTGGCACGCGGGCAGGGCGGCCGGATTCCGAAGCATGCAGCCGACCGTTCAGATGGAAGAGATGGGGCGCCATTTCGAAGCGGGGAAGGCGGAACCAGAACGGCGATCGAGATTGCGGACGGTTTAGTCCAAAGCATGCTCGCGTCCAGGGTCCGGCACAACCTGGTTACACTAACCGCTCTCGTCGAAGTCTACGCTGGGGGGGAACACGTGGCAAGGGCCCTGGAGCTGTTCGGACGATTTCCGGACCACGGGGTGAAACCGGACGGCGGCAGTTATTTAACCCTGTTTCAGGCGTGCGTCCGAGGGGGAGCGTCGCTCGGGCAGCTTTTGGAGGTTTATTGGGGGTTTGCTGAGGCCCGGATCCGCCCCCCCAAAACGGTCTATCACCCCCTTCTGCGGGCGTGCGCGCAAGAGAAGAACCTGGCCGTGGCCCATAAGCTATTTGACGAGATGCGGGCGTTTGGGATTATGCCTGATGCGAAGCACTACACGAGCCTCGTGTTTGCTTGCGGAGTGGTCAGAGACATTCCCCGGGCGGAGGCCACCCTAACCGAGATGCTAACCCAGGGGTTAGAGAGAACGACAATAACCTGGAACGCCCTCCTGAGCGGGTTACGGAAGGGGGAGGGAACCTTCGCCCAAATGAAACCCGTTGTGAAGAAGATGCGGGCCGCGGGGGCCGAGTCAGACTGCACGACGTACAGCGTTTTGCTGCAGGTCTGCAAGCAGGAGGGGCGTGCCAACACTGCCCAGAGAATCTACGCCGCTTTCCTCGAGGCGCGTTCGGTCCCCGGGGAACGCATTTTGGTCCACCGGGAGGCGCTCGAGAACTTTGCACCGGCGGCAATGGTTGAAGCTTGCGAGACCGTTATCGCCCAAATGCGTAACGAGGGGTTGGTGCTGACGCGACGGATGCACCAGCTCCTGATCGCGGCATATGCCGCCGAGCTCGACTACGGCAAAATGGCGGACGCCCTCGCGGCGATGCTGAACGAGGGGCTGACACCTGGTGTCGCGGCAAACGACCACGTGGCACGGGCGCTCGCCAGGGGGGGGCGCGTGGGAGAACTTCTGGTGCTTCTGAAGACGATTCGGGAAGGGGGCGGAGAAGTGCCGGGCCGGATGTGGCATCACGTCATCAGGGCGCACGTGAACGTTCCGGATCAGGTAAGCAGCTCGAGGTACGGAAGTCTCGTTCGGTGTAAGCCAACCCCGGAGCGTGAATTTAGCATCGGGCCGAGTGTGACTGTGACAAAAGTCCAATCCTCGCTCCGTCGGCTGACCCTTCGAGCGAGTGCATTCCACTTTCTGCTTTGCTAAACGCTTCTGGATGTCCTGTATTCACTGGGAGAGTCAGTCCACCTTCGCTTGCTGATCTTAATTGCCCTCTTCGATCCGCTGGCCACGATGTAAAGCAGCTCGAGGCTTCCTGGTTGTTTATACTGAGAGTCATTACGATGCTGACATCGGCATGCCGGACATCAGACCCGGTCTTTCGATCTCGTCTCTGAGTTACAGTCCGTTTCGATCCGCAGATGCTGGAGTGCCGAGCATCTGTCCGAAGTACCGGGGGCCATTACCATGTGTGCCTCTGCCGTATCCGTTTCGCTCGTTCTCGTTATCTTCCTCCAAACGTCCATTCTGACATCTCTTTCGTGCCACTTCTAAGCGCGACCAAAGGACTAGCCGAAGTTCGTATTCGCACTCCTCAGACAGCACTTCTATTCTTGCAGGATCCGGATCTTGAGAGCCTGTCCAAAACTCTTCGAGACCTGCACCGGACGTCCGGCTCTCTCCCGACTGCCGCGCTCGTCAGCCTGCTCATCCTCATTAGCCAGGCCGACACGTGGCAGCAAATCCAACCGCTCGTTTCACTTCTCGGCCGCATCGACGGCCAGCTCTTCCAAGCCGCCTCTGAACTCCTCTCAGCGGAGCCGCGGTCGCCCTGGCGTGTGCTTGAGGATGCCAACCGGGCAAAAAATGACATAGTGAGGGGAAGCTTGGACCCGGACGAAGAGTGGGCGGTGCAGGCTACCGACCGCTTCGTCCGGCTTGTGCAAGCAGTCGAGCCCGACGACTCAAGCCTCCTGTTGGTTCTCCTGGGGCGCACCGCCGACGCGCTGTGCTTCCGAGGACTAAGGGCCCGGGCCGCGACCCTGGTACGTACCGTCCTCACCCTGGAGCTCAACCGGGCGCCGCATGGGGGCCCCATCCGACCGTCGGATCCCGTCCACGTGGCGCGATCCCGGCGGCTCGACCTGCACCGGCTCTCCGAGGGCGGCGCGTGCGCGCTCCTGCTGAGCTGGCTGCGGGAGCGTCAGGCTGACGTCAGAGGCGATGCAATACTTGGTGCTGACTTCGACGAGGCTGCGGGGGATCCCCCTGCGGTGGTCGAGATTGTCACGGGGTGGGGGAAGCACTCGCTCGTGGGGGGGCGCCCCGCGGGGGTGTCGGCCGTGCAGGCGGCGGTCGGGGGGGTGTTGGAAAAAATGGGTGCGCCGTTCGAAACGAGCCCGGCAAACGAGGGGCTGCTGGTCGCTTCTAGCGAGAGCGTCCGGGAGTGGTTGACAATGTGTCCGGCGATCGAGTTGCGGGACGAGAGGAAATGACGGGTCAATGAGTCAAGCGTCTTATAGGCGGTCGTCCTATCACTTGGGTTTATTCCGAAACCTGAGACTCCTTCCTAGCCAAGGTTTTTGATGCCCAGTAATCGCGGTGCCGGAATCGGACGATGGAGTGCTGCTGAGCGGCGGACATCCGAACGCTCGCGGCTGGACACGTGTCCGGGATTGGCACGTGCAGCGATGAAGGGTACCCGACGATCGGTCCCTTCGGCGGATATCGGACGGTCCGTCGGTTGGACGGTGGCCATTTTGCTGTCCGGTGAGTTGGGAACTTGCCCAAGCCGCGGTCTTGTCGGATTTTGATGTAATCTGAGATTGGCTTCAAGTGGAAGTTCCTGTCTTCTTGGACGGGCCTTGAAGCCGTGCAGTCATCTCTGGCCGGGTGATGCACGTTCAGCTCATTGACGGCCTTGTGATTGCGACGCCGCTTCTCGTTTCGTCTGTTGAAAGTAGACTTGGAGGCGGTAAAAGTACCAAGAGGGAGAAGCGAGTCAGGATTTCATATTCCGTCGGTTCAACACTCATTCATTGAGGAGAGCGAGTCTGCTGGTGTGTGTGCTGCTGTAATCTGGCTTTGCCCCTTTGGTGAAAGCTGCCAAGCTTCAAAGGCGTCCCCATCGTCGCCTGCGTCCACGCGGGCCACGCGGACAAAATAGCTCGGGCTCCAGCGCTGCGCCTGATTTGTGCCTACTACTCTTTCCGAGTTGGATGTACGGAGTGCAATTTGCGGTAGGGTATGGATAAACGGAGTGCTTTTTGCGGGAGATTTGGAGTTGCTGAGTGCTACTCGTGGTGCAGTTGTCGATGAAGACTGCTCTTTGATGTACGTCAACCTGTGATACTCACCCACCAAAACCATACGTCTGCAAAACACTTCTAGAAAATGCTGTTCAGAAATTCATCATCGAAGCTGAACAATTGATGGTTGACGATGCAGAGGGCGAGACGCCTCTGATTTCTGGACTTCGGGTTCAAGAAAAGCGGCCGAAGTGACTACTCCGACGTGACAGGCTGAGCAGGGTTCTGCCGTTCTGTTATTTCTCAAGAAAAGCTCCAAGGCGGACAACTCGGTCAGGTACAACAGTCGCATTTTGAAGTTGGCTGCTGGTACGATACTATTTTCTCTGCATGCGCGCATCTTGGATTTTGCGCTGGTCGAACTCGGTTTACAGCACCACCCTCTGTGTTCGGCGGCCTATTATTGACGTGGCAGCGTGTCGTTTCCAAGCTCCTGCGGACACATAGCTAGTGGATCCTCGGGCGTTGTTATTGGCCGAGCTATGTACTTGGCATTGTTGATCGATGCGACGGTTCTCCTTAGATTACATTCGATGCATGACATATGGTAATGCCGCATGATTTGATGTATGTACGTCAGGAAAATTATTCCAAATGCTTCTCAGCTGTCGCCAGAAACGACTCCAATTGGTACTAACCTATGAACTATCATTGAAGGGTTCTGCTGCTAGTACAGAACATTGGTGCCGCATCGTGCGCGTACATACTGTACTTTCTGAAGTTTGGCGGATGGCCGGCCCCTGCATGCACATGTGCCAGGGCATGCAACCACACATGATCAAGTTATCAATTTCTTAACCGAGTATATAGCGTATATGGATTAAGCAGTATGTATGCCCTCGTACAAAGCATGATGAATTTACGGTCTGTTACGCAAGAAAAGCTAGCTGCCTACAGTTTCCACCAGATGTACGTTCATTTCTCTTTGGAATTGTGTCTCAGGATAATCTCCTTCCGCACGCCAAGGTCCGCAAAACAATCAATCAAGTTTCATGCTAGTTAGCTTGAGGTGGGCCGGAAAAGATACATGAACATAAGTGCATGAAACTCAAATCGAGAGCACAAGTGGATTACTGCTCTCCATGATTACATCGGACAAATATCCCAGATACTAATCAAACTTTGGAATCATAATTTGACAGGTCATAACGTTCTACCGTCCATTTTTGAAAGTCATTTATCTAGCTAACCTCCTCCACAACAATGCATGCCATTACTTGCTGACTAACCATTATATTTTGCGGCGCTTCTATACAGAATTTGACTCAGAACAATCTCCTCTGATCTCCTCTGATCGCCTTTCACGTCCACCGTCCGTCTTCACATCTCGACCTCTTCAAACCCACCAATATTGAATTCCACCTACCAACTTCACCTCAAAACCTTCCAAAATATTTGTTCTGCGCGAGCATATCACCAGTCAGACTCTCAAACCGTTCACTCCTCCTTGCTGCTCTCCACGGCCTTGCCCAGCGTCTTAGCCACGTCGAGGACGAAACGGTACTTCACGTCATTCTTGACGAGACGGTCCATGGCGGTGTTGACATACTCCATGGGAACCTTCTCGATTTTGCACGTGATGTTGTGCTCGCCGCAGAAGTCGAGCATCTCCTGCGTCTCCTGTTTTTAAAAAGAGGAGCAGTGACGTCAGTGACATTTGGGTTTAAGAGTATTTCCCCATTTCAATTTCTCAATCTTGCACGCGATACTGTGCTCGCCACAAAAGTCAACCAACTCCTGCATCTCCTGTGTTTGGACAAGGGGCAGTAGCGTCAGTCGCGAGTCTCAAAAAACTTGATTGATTATACTTCAAAAGTTGTTTAAAGAAGTCAAAGAATGACAGCAGCAAAGCAAAACATAGAGAGGCCACTGCAGTCGCAGAAGGCTTGAGGACCTGTACGACACGTCATTGCCACGAGGGCACCAGAAAAAGCGATTGTGACAACACAAAGCAATGTTCGAAGTGAGAGTTCAAACGGGCAGTTTCGTAGTCTAGTAAAGTCAAACGGGCAGTTTAGTAGTTTAGCAAAGGCAACTTGTGCCAAAAAAACCAGAGATTTCTGAAAGTCGACCTTTCATCCAGAAAGCAGTCCTCTTATCACACTCTGACTGATGTCGCTTGTCTGCTTCTCATCTACTCTGCTTCTCATCTACTCGTAATCAGACGGACGTCCGACGTGCTCGACATAACCTTCCCAGGCCCTTCGCCAATTGCACTTCCCAAAAGCAAACGAACTTTGCAAGATCAAACAGCAAACACTATCTGGTTGCGATCCCAAATCCTGCTCGAGCGAACTTAAACATTCCAAACAGCCTCATTTTGTTGACTTACCTTGATACCCCCGATGAGGGACCCGGCAATCATCCTGCGAGCCATCACAATGCCCCCCGCATTGAATTCAAGGTTCTCGGGCGACACGCCGACCATGATCAGCTTCCCGTCGGGCTTCAGCAGACTGAGGTAGTCCATGATCGGGTGCTTCGCGGAAACCGTGTCTAGAATGTAGTCGACGGTGTTGGCACGTGCCTGCAGAAGCGGGCAACTTATGTGAGCAGATCATGGGGCTCGAGGAGATTGAGAAAACCAGAGTAAGCAAATCATAGTGGACTCAAAAAATAACTACTTTTGAAGAACTGGGGCAACCACCATGAGCAGAATAGAGCGGGCTCGAAGCAGGCCCCACTCCCCGTTGGAACAATGCTTTCCAGAAGAAGTTTCCCGTTCTTAGAAAACCCGTTCTCTTTCCGTTCTCGAAAGGGGAAGTGGCCTCTTGTCAACAAAGCACGCGGAAAATCTCTTCCCGCTTCAGAGTCTGCCTGACTAAAACTTTGTTACCCCTTCGACTCGGTCCTGTCCGCAAAGCCACTCGAAGTCTACCCCCTTCGAATAAAATGTCCAGACAAGGGACTCATTGAAACCACTGCTTTCCTCAGGAAAGCTTGTGGGAGACGTGAGAGATACCCTCCGCCCGATCGTGAATAGAGCAAACTTCACACCCACTTTTGCCTTGGGCTCTTGGGCTCTTCTACTAAAACATTGACAGAAGAGATGTCCAAGGTATGTCCTCCCAAGCAACAAACACAAGCAAAGGACCTCGGGCCACCCGCTCACCTTCATCGCCTCTGCGTCCTTGGACACCACAAACTCGTCCGCACCCAAACCCTTGAGGGCCTCGTCCTTCTTGTTGGGTGACGTGGAGAAGACAATCACGTGCATGCCGAACGCCTTGCCAAACTGCACGGCCATGTGACCCAGCCCCCCAAGACCGACAACGCCGAACGTCTTGCCCGGTTTGTCCATACCATAGTAACGCATCGGGCTGTAAGTTGTGATTCCGGCGCAGAGCAGGGGGGCGCTTGCGGCGAAGTCGAGGTTCTCGGGCATGCGGAGGACGTACCTGAGGGCGGGTTAGGAATATGGGTTAGCACGGGGTTCCAAAGAAAGCAAGCTGGAACTCAAAATAACTGTTACTAAAGGAAACAATGACAGGATTATGAACCACACAACGAGGTCGAAAACGATGAAGAGAAGCTTTTCTGCTCCCCCGTCCTGCTAAAGTCTTGCAGTCTTTAACAAATTAGTAGTATAATCAGCAGATGAGTTCGAGACATGAAAGCGCTATTTCACAACCAAAACGTTCCACAGCAAGGAGAGCAGAAAAAACCCACTGCATTCCAGGGTAATATGAAGTAAATCAAGTTGTGCTGGAGGAAATAAAGTACCCCTCCAATGCCACAGATCGTACGATCATTTAGGGCAAAGAGTTCCAAAGTTTCAGATTGAACAACTCACTTCTCATTCACGACAACAGAGTCAGAATAGCCTCCATATGTTGGCGTCCCGTCCACGTCAGTGGCATTGTATGTCTGGATCATCCCCTTGACGCAGAACTGCTCCTCATCACGCTGGCAGAACTCACACTCCCGGCATGAATTCACCATGCACCCTACCCCGACCTTCTGGCCCACCTTGAAGGCAGTCACCTTGCTGCCAACCTTGTCAACATGGCCCACCAGTTCGTGCCTGCACGATGAGCGTCTATGTTAGCGAAACAAATAGTAGGATAGTGAGGGTAAAGTGCTCAAGGAAAAGCAGGATTTGCTTCAAAGAGGGGTCTGGCTTGATCTAAAAGGAGTCTACTTTGAATCAAGCTAAAATAAAAAATGGAAGACCTGACACAAAAGACATGTCAGCCAACTGTGGGCTAGCAAATACAAGCAAAGAATATATGTCTGTACAAGGCTCAGGTATGAAGTCCAGAGCTTTAGGGCTGATTACACAGATCTCCCAAACAACAAAAGATCCAATATCAACAGCCAATAAAGGAACCAATATGAAGCCAGAGAAGAGGAGATGCAAACCGTTCTGAAAGAAAGAAGACGAACGACCCTCGTCGCATCTTTGGCGTGGACTTTCTTTCAGGATAACTACTCTAGTTCTTTTGCAAATACTTCTCTTTTTTCATAAAAGAGATGGAGATTGCCGTCCTCTCCATTCTATAACCAACTGATCAGCATGTTACAACCGATTGCGCAAAGGGGAAAACGCTTCATAGAGAAAGACGGTGAGGATGTGACTAATCCAACTCCAGCCTTTCTCCAGTCCCCCCAGTTTTCAGAGAAGATAGTGTTGTATTGGCAAGTACCATGTTACATAAAACTGAATGGTTACACATCAATCCAGCTACCGCAAGATACTAATTACCTATAAAAGCGCCTAGAAAAGGCTCACCCAAAAGCAATCCAAAGTTCTGTAAGCATGTGAAAAGTCGAAGAAGTTTCATTGGAACAAAATATATCCATTCAAGCATGCACACCCAATCAGATTCGACAGCTCTTGCAACGTGGATCAAAATAAGTGGGTTCAGCCAGAAGATGGTATGGGTGGGAGAGTATTCGATTGAAGATACATGATTTTCGGTAGGCCATATACTGACAATCAGCTACTCAAAGGGACAATTCTTGCAACCATGCAACCATGTCAAATGTTTCATGCTCCTCTGAGCATGCTTGCTAGGTCCAAGATGTTCTGATAAATAGCAGACAAGTTGGACAGTACTCCAATGTTGACCAAGCCCAGGCCCCCTGACTTCGTCAACCCCCCTCTCCCAACTCTCCAGGCATCCTCAGCCCCCCTCCCCGGCTGAGTGCGCACCCTCCTCCATTCCCCTCCCATCCTTCCGCTTCCCAATCCTCCCCTTCCACACACTTCCAAGGACAGGAGTTGAAAAGGCTGTGACAAACAGATTAACCCGCACCACTACAATCAGTGTCAACTTGAGTGAGCAGTAAGAAGCCAACTTTGCTGGATTACTGGATCCAAATAGTGCTGCAGCAAAGCAACACCAATCAAGAGGGCTGCAAATAAGGACTCTTGACAAGATCTTCACCAGATTCACACAGATCCGCATTGCATGCTCATATGCTCTCGACAGCTGAGAGAACCGCACCACCATGATCCAGGCAAGATAAGCACACCGAGACACAACATCACCCCAACTTTGCTAAATGACCAGCTTACCCAGGCACCATCGGATACTTTGCGCCGCCCCACTCATTCTTGACCTGGTGCAGATCACTGTGGCAGATGCCGCAGTACTCAATCTTGAACGACACGTCCTCATCACCCACAGGCCGCCTAGAGAAGTTGAACGGCGCCAGGTGGCCAGAACTGTCGCGAGCTGCGAAACCGACGCAGTTGTGCTTGGCGTCTCCCATCTTGCTGCTTCAATGGAGTAATACAAATGGCTCTAACGTTGCGAGTTGTGCAGCTGAGAACAGTCGACAGCGCAGAGTCCAGGAAGAAACGCGTTCAAAAGTGTAAGATTTGCAAGCGCGAAATGTCGAAAGCTAGCTGCGGTTCTTCAAAGATTGCTTCAACAAAGATGCAATCCGGAACTCTGAAGTTTCAATGATGACAAAGGGTTCACAGTCGCGAAGAGATGCTAGATGCAAGCTGACATGAAATGCTAGGTAGGTCATAGAAGCCTGTATCATGTATAGGTATGCATGCAGACCCGGATGCAAGCAGGGGATCGATCATCGGAAGCCATTTGTGCTGCCATCATCATGATGCCAGCAAGATTGGAGCTTTGTGGCCCTGAAAGACAGGCATTCAACGGCAGGAGGTTGCATCAGAAGGAGACCCTACTTT